GTTTGGAAAAATGTCCTTTGTTGCCTATAACTCTGCCTATCTAAAGGGGTCATCTCTTTCTTCTCAATATTTGCTTCGCAGAGAATTCATCCAAAAAAACTAATTTATGCTAAGCAGCTGAACTGAAAGCTTATAACTACCCAAAAAACCCTCTGAATCAAAACTACATGGAGAAGGGTATGTATGGAATAGTCACTGCTAAAACCTGAAATATGCTTTATAGTACATATTACACATATATATATGCATATATATAAATGTATATCTCTTTGAAGATATACATTGCTATACAAGATTTCCATATTAATTTAACTCCAAATTAAATTTTTCACATTCCTAATGAAACTTCTCATGATGTGCATTAAAACAAAAATTTTTAAAAGTAGCTAGACAAAAATACGTGTGCTGTATATTGCAAAGCTTAAAATTACACAATTCCTTGTTTGCAATACCTGCAGTTTGCTTCCTTTATCATAAGCACATTAAGCAAGAACAGTAGGTTCTGAATTTAAGAGTGCATACGCTACCCTCTAGTGACTATGTGTACACTTCTACTTTGAAATATGAGTAAGATAATTAGGGTTAATTTCCTCTCATTACCACCCTTTCTCCCCCCTTATACTTAAAAGCAAAGCACAGACAGCAGCTTTTCTGTTGCTGTTTCCAACCTGTTTCACCTTACAGTAACTACTTGTTCCTCAGCTGGTAGTATAACACACCTGTTATCCAGAAGCAAATAAATGTCTTTGTGTAAATACAGATTTATTTTTCTTTAAATCCACTACATAACTGCTAACAATTTAATCTCAGAGTTCCTGATTCACAACTGAAAAAAACCCCCTGACCTTACCATAAGATACTGGAAGACACCAAGTACTGCATATAAGTTTCTCGAACAGAATAAACATAAGACATCAGAACTGCCTTTTTTATGCAGCATTCACCATTCTGTTCAGCATTTACTGAAGTACTAATCTTACCTTCTCCAGAATAATATTCGGTTGGTACAATATTTTCATCCCAAATAATCTTCTCTGTGGGATAAAGAGGCATCTGGTTGAGTTGCTGAATTTGAGATATTCGTCGCTCATGGCGGGAAACCTAATGAAAAAATGCATTTCAAACTCTAAGTCAAAAAGGAACAATAAAGCTGCTTTTGATCTATAAGACTGCTGGTGGTCACTTGCATTTTCTCTTTTAATATTTTTTTAAATTAAATATAATTTTTTTAAAATTAAATAAATATCTCTCCATGGCATCGATAGGTATCGTATCACTACCATCTAAGTCTTAGAAAACTACATGAACAATTTTTTAAGAAATCACCAACCCCAAAATAAGCTTATTAAACAGATTTTAAAAACCAGCTATGCCATTTTAATACTGATATCAGATCAGAAGCCTACAGTAATATTGTATACCTTGAATATCCAAGGTATCAAAAGAAATTATGTGCAACAAAGAGTATTTCAAATGGGTTTGAGACTTAAATAGGTACTGAATACTTAGATCTACTTTAGCAGATTTTTTTAAGTGGGGCGAGAAGGTTGCTAAATAAGGAGCAAAAACTTTTCCAGAACTCAAAACTATTACTAAGACTCTTCTGACTGGCCTTTACTATTACACCAAACACACACATATTAGTTTCTCATGGAAATTACATATATATAAATAGGCATTTTCAAATATTTAATTTATATGGTTTTAAACCCCATCTTAGTATGCCATTTACTGCTGTAACACTGCTGTGGTTCGTGGGTGCTTCAGCAGAATGCCCTAAATGACTACTTTACTGAAGTGTAGTTGCTGGATTTAGATGAGTTTTCAAAAGAAAAACACAAGCAGCATTAACTATGCCTTTACCAGCAACTCCAGCAGAAACTCCTTTTCGTGGGTCGTGTCTTCCCCTTCGGCCAGGGGCGGCAGGAGGCACAGGTACGACGCCACCTGGTGGAGAACGTTGGAGCTGCACAGCAAAAGGAAAGAAAAGCCTCTATCGCTTAAACTGAAACCAGAGAGAGCATTTGCTGCAGCTTAAAAAAATCCAACTATCTGTTTTGATCAGAGGCCAACATTTATGGATCGTTCTTTTAAGTGAAGTTTGAGTGTAATGTGTAAGCTGAACCTCTCAACTACAATAAACAGAGCAAGGTATGAATACTTTCTATTGTTTTAAGACAGGTACCTGAAACAGAATCAAACAACAAAGCACACATTGCCTTTGACAATATACAACCTACTCACATTTTACTTACAGCATTTACAATACAGTGGCATAATTTTATGATTTCTGTTGTAGTTCTTGTACAACACAGTAAAAAAAAAATAAACTAAACAGCTTAGAGGTTAACTACTGCAAGTTAATTACTACTACAACTACTTTAAGCAACCAGTTTATTTTCCAGAATACTAGTTCTTTCTCACATTAATTAAAAAAAAGAAAAATAAAGTTATTTTTCACTACTAGTGGACTCAAAATCTCCCTGTCTCTCTAATTCAGGAGAAGTAAAGGCACCATGACAACTCAGAAGGAACTGATAAGTCATGTGAGAACGCATGAGAAGTCAGAAAGAAAAAAGACTAGAAATCTGTAAAATTAAATTATACTGAAAACAATTTCAGTTTCAACTTGATAACTTACCTAAGGGGTCCAAATAACTTCACCAGTGCATCACGAGTATCTACTGCAGCTACATTTGAGAGTGCAAAGTCATATAACTCCGGGAAATGTGCAAATGCTGCTCTCTACAAAAGACCCATGCACAAAAATTGGATGTAATCATATTAAAGAAACAATTTAGTAACAGTTTAAATGTTCAGATAAAAGCTTCTCCTGATTCATAACATGTTCCACCCCATGGACACTACCACCACAGAAATAAAAGCCAATGAAACACCAACTATTTGTTACTCCTGGATTTCTGACACGGTATCTTTTCCTTATACACCGTTCTATCAGGTCTGTTAATGAAATGAAATGTAATGGAGCAGGCATGTAGCTTTGCAGGCAACTAAGAAAAACAAGGAACAAGTGTAATTTGGCCGTGCTTCCTTGAATCGTTTTGCTAAAGCTGATGGGAAAAGTTCTGAAAAGCATACGTGAATTTACTTTGTCTCTTCTGTACCAGGGACCACTGTTACCACATGCCCACTGATCTTGATGAAATGCTGCCACCTACTGCACCACTGCAAGTTCCTACAGCATTCACAGTTCATCTTGGTAACTTCAAGTCCGAAGTGGTGATGTTTTACTAGAGCATATTATTTAGTCATTGTCACATCCACCACACTGAAGCATTACATGTCTTCAATATGACAGGCAGTCAAGCTAAAACTGTTCTTGTAACTCAATAGGGAAAATAAGGGTTTGATTTGGGAAATATCCTTGTGCATATTCCAGCTGCAAATTAGACTAGAAAAACAAAACCACATCCTTTCCCTCCCATAAGCACTTAATCATCTACCTACCTGTAGAGAAGTAATTCTGTCATAGTGAATTGTTGTCATCTCATTCTCTGTCAAAGCATTTCCAGTCTGATCATTGATTTCAAAGCCAGTGTAGAATTTAAGCATATCTAAAAGCTAAGACATTAATATAAATTAGTGGATTAACAATAAGAGACACCCTACTACAAAACAAAATCACAATTTAAGAGGAAAAACAAAAGCTCCTCAAAGTTCTAGAAGAAATGGACTAAGGGGTGGTAGCTAAATTTTACACTTGGCTGATGCACAAAATAATTTTGGTTAGGTATCTCATCTGCCAGAGGCTCACTAAGTCACTGAACCCAACTTATGGCTTGCTGCTACCAAATGGGAGAAGTCTTGCTCCCTCCTGCTCCCTCTGATGGCAGCTCTGAAATTCATCCTACCTCTCAATGAGATTATTTAACTTGGAAGAACAAAATTATTCTGATGCGCTGCTGGCTTTTTGTTTCATCAATACTGACCCTCAATGAAAATGAACAACTGCCAGAGATGGGGGATAGCAAGTAGCAGGAAAAGCAGCTCACATGAAGGAAAGGCAAGAGATCTTCAGATCCTGCCATTAAAAAAAATATACTAGCTATGACTGAGTAAACTGAAGGACAGTAGTGAAAAACAGCTGCACTACAGAACAGCCTGAAGTCAAAATCAAGAACACAGGAATGCACTAGAGACAACTTCTGCTATGTGTGCAGTTAAGCATCCCAGAAGCTCCACTGCTTTTTACATTGTACTTTTAAGAACTTTTCAAGAACAGAACCAAAAATATTACTCTGCTCTTGTGAGATCCCAGTTGGAGTACTGCATAAAACTGTGGGGCCTCCAACACAAGAAAAATGTGTTGCAACAAGTTGCAACAAGTCCGGAGGATTTGGCTACAGGGCTGGAGGACCTCTCCTAGGACAACAGGTTGAGACAGCTGGGGCTGTTCAGGCTGAAGAAGAGAAGGCTCTGGAGAGACCTTATACAAGCCTTTATAGTACCTAAAGAGGGCTACAAGGCAGCTGGAGAGGGACTTTTTACAGGGCATGTAGTGATAGAACAAGGGGGAATGGACTTAAACTGAAGGAGGGTAGGTTTAGATCAGATACTAGGAAGAAATTTTTTACTGTGAGGGTGGTGAGGCACTGGAACAGCTTGCCCACAGAGGCTGTGGTTGCCCCATCCCTGGAGGTGTTCAAGATCAGGTTGGATAGGACTCTGAGTAACCTGGTCTAGAGGAAAGTGTCCCTGACCATGGCGAGGTATAGGAAATGAATCATCTTTAAGGTTCCTTCCAACCCAAATTGTTCTATGAAATGTAACAGCAGTCACACACTTAGGTAACTGTAAGAAAGAACTACTGTCTGATTTAAATAAATATGTAGTTTGCATCCAGGAGAAAAGCCTATCTTCAACAAATAAATATAAAACAAAACAATTGTGGCATTCAGAAACACAGTGAATGAAAAAGTAATTTTCAACAACTTTGTATCTCACCTGGCAGAAGAGGTGACCCTCTTTCTCTCTTTTAGCAAGACTAGACAGGTAACAGTGAACAACAAGATGGGAGTCATCCAACACTGTATTGAACCAGCGCCGTGTGGGAAGCAAAGCCTGTGGTAAACAACCTCACGTTAATACAAGTAACTCTTCAAAAGGTAAGAAATCCTAGCTTTTCAGAAATTTTCCATTTCAAGAAGGCATATTACGATATATTGTTGCAGTTATTTGCATATCTAATACCCTAACAGAGGTTCTCTTCTTAAAGCAGAATTTATGTATGCCAAGACACTGGTTTTATGTAGGTAAGCAGCTAAGAACACAGCTTTTTATGTGACTGTGAGCATGGCATAAACTTGCTATTAGTGAGAATTCATCTTGCCAGTAAAAAAAGAAATTAAATACAGCAATTATTCTACTACTAAGTGTCTATATAATGGCTGTGTGCTACAAAAGATACGTCAAACTGCTTCAACATTAAGTGTTTGTTTTCTATACTAATTTCATTAACTTTTAGCTTATCTTTCTAAAACTGCAAACTGTTTCTTCCAAATACGATATGGTATCTCCTATTCTTTGTAAGACTGAAGTTAGACTACCAATTTTTCAAATCTTAAAAAAATGTAGTGATCATTTCTTCTCAATGTAAATAGCTTAAAAGCTGCTCTATGTAGCAACTGTTGATCAGCATACAATAATACACCACAACTTTCTATGGACTGAATTCAGAAAGCCAAAAAGCATCAAAACGGTGTGTAGAACTAAGATGAATAAAAGAATCTGTAGTAGAAAATGTTGATTACTCTGCACAATAATTACAAAAAACAAACTCAGAAAACCATAAGAACTCTCCATGGAATCATTACTTTCAAATTATCAAATCACCAAGTTTTGATGGCAGTATATATACTGCACTATGAAACAGTACTATACTAAAAAAGGCTTCAACGTCAGTAAATGAGCCCATTAACACAGTACATGTTACAAAGGCAGAAAGACTTGGATTTACAGCTAATTTCACATTTGCTTGTTCCAGTCAATTAAACAGACTTCATAACCTGTCTGAATTCTAACCTTTCTGTAATACCCAGTAAGAACCAACATTAAATGTACTGCCTCTTAAGCATTCTGGCTAACTGACAGACTTTAGTTTACCTTCAAATACATATTTTCTCTGTAAGAGTATATTATATACATATTATATACATAAAACAACAAACTTTAATTTAAATTATTCATTCTATTGCAACTACAAGCACAAACTACTTAAGTGATTTAACAGAGGACAGTTGGACAAAAGTTAGACAAGATCAAACCACTTTAAAGTTCCCTGTGATTACTGTTTCAGAAAAGTCTCTTTTATTTCAGCATGCCTTCTAAAGTTGAAGTTATTCTAAATAAGTATCTACTCATGTGAGAAACTGTAAATGAATGCCTTTTGTTTTTAATACTGGTTCTGTGATGCTTAAAATTGTCTCACTCAGTACTAGCTGAAAAATTTCACAAAACTTTGCTTCGTCCCCTATTACCCCGTAACAAAGCTCAGTCACCAGATCTGATTCATGATTACTTCTAAATCATGAATTCTAGTCAACACAGAAACAGTTTGCATTTCAGAACTACTGCTGCTTTCTGGGATTTAACCCTATAAGACAAAAGATACTTTAACTGACCTGTTATGCATTGGGAAGAACAATTCTGAGTTATTCCTAGCAGATTAAAGTATCACACACTTCAATCAATTGCCAGAATTATTACCACTACTCCAATTAACAAAGTCCTCTTCACTGAGCACTTTAGCATCCTACTTTTGTCTAATAATTCATCTCGCTTATAAATATTACTGGTCACTTCCCAATGTAGATGCACTGCTATAACCTCCTATTTACAGATGGAAAACCACTATTAAGGAACCATATGCACAGCTGGGACATAACCACTTGTTATTGGGAATAAAGCTGTAATAATGACTTTATGCATTAAAGGCCTAGAAAAGTACACCTGGAAACAGGCTGAAACAATTTAATAACTCACCTCAAGGTCTAGCATGAGTTCAATAAACCTTTCACAATAATGAACTTTGTCCATAGAAATAGGACCTAGATAGAAGAAAAAAAATTTTAAAACTGATCCACACCATGATATATTTACACTTGAACTATTCTTCAAAAATGTAATAAATGCTACAAATACAACAGTATTAACTTTTTAATCTTGTTAAAAGCTAACTAATACATTCTTCTCTTTCTGAAACAATCCTTTCTTATATCCAAAATTCTTCTGGTTAGCAATGAAAGAGAGGAATAGAACCAGAGTTTCAGGAGTGATTTTATCAACTTTGAGAAAACCTCATATGTGACATGCAAAAATGCATTCTTCCACAGGATATCAATGGCCCATTAAGCTTGTTAAGAACTTTTAGGGCCCAGTACTCAAAAATTTAAAATCTGCAATCAAGGTGTGTGCAAAAGGCCTTGACCATCTTCAAAGGAACTCAGTGGTGACTACTAAGGGGCCTTCAGAATCATATCAAAATACATTAGTCTGCTCTAATGACTACCTAATTCCTAAAGTCTCCAAAGAACTATTTAAGTAAATCTTCCTAAAACAGATCTTGCATAATCAGAAAAACAGAGGGGATAAGTATCCTTTCTGAGGAAGCCACAATACACAAAATTTCCCCTTACAGCTCAGGTAAGAGTTGAAGTTTGCCAAGAGTTTAACAGCAAAAGTAGAACTCTGGGAAGTGATTTCACCCAAACTGTGCCGTGCTTAGAGCATAATAATCCTGTTTTGTTAAAAGGCTAACACGTTCCTGTACAAACACTTTTCCTTTCTAAATCAGGTAAGCATATAATTTTGCTTGTCACAATGACTTATAAATCAACTGCAGTCAAATCTTACAGAATTTCACTTCACTTAGGCTTTTGTTCTTACTGTAAATCAACAGTACTAACAGAACAGAGACTCATAATATGCATTTATACCACCTATTTAAAAAGGCATCTAAGTATGTATAAAATGCTTTAATGCTCTGAGCATACAATAAGGAATATCAGTTCCCAGAAACACTGTTTTTACTAGGTCTGTACTGAACAGCGGGAGGCTGAAAGAAGCTTTCTGCTGTTTCATTTTTAAAATATATACAAATTTGAATATAATTTTTATACGAAATCCATCCAGGCAGGCATATATTTCACTAAAACTCCATCTGAATAAGGTCTCCAACCTCAGGTTGATATCCTAAGGACTTCAGCAACAGAAAAGAACTTAACACAGATTACCAGACAACAAAGTAACATAAGAACCACAGTTACCTGAGACAGGTATCGTCTTTAGCACAGAAATGAATTTCTGAATGAGCTGTGAAAGAAATCTTCTCTCCTGATATGCTCTAAAATCAGACATATGACAAAAGAATTAATACTCCTTATGTGTAGACTAGAAGTACATTGTAGCTTTAACTAATACAAAGTTAGCTGCTTCAAAATTTACACAATGGTAGTGGGTTGCTCTGAAACACACCTGAACTGTTTAGATGGTAACTCTTCTCTCTGCACTCAGGCACACAGAATTGCAGTCTACGTTTTTAGGTACAGAACTGATTAACAACCCATGCTTCTTACTGAGTCAAAGAGAAGTTTGTCACCACCTACACCTTACCACTTTGCAACGCAAAACCATTGGAACATTTAATTTTGCTGAAATACACAAAGATTTATTCAAATATTTGCATAAGCTATATGCTTAAAAGAGAAACATTTGCTAAAGGTCATGGAAAAAACCTAATAACTATATGAATATTCTTTTATACTTTCATCCAATAGCTCTAAGATTTGATATCATAAATTCACTAATCAAATAAAATATAAAGTTCTGTAACAATATTTTGCATAAAGACTACTAAAAAACAAAAGAGCTTCCAAGAGACCACATATGATCAATCCTTCTTTGCCATCTTCACATGTTTTTTAAAAAACTTTTTTTATTGAAACAATTTATTTTAGCTAAAACACAATGAAAGCAATAAGGGCTTTGGATTTAACACAAAAAAATGTTTCTGTAACATACTGCATTCTTGCTTCTTCATCCATTTTTGCATCATTTTTCTTAATTAGATTCCAGAATTTTCTTAGTTTTGGTGTCTTTTTCAGTTCATGTTCCAGTCGCTTCTGAAACGTTAAAATGTTATTCAGTCACCAAGAATTCTTGTTTTCACAAGAGATAAAAATACAATCCAGTCTTTTCATTAAAAAAGGAAAAAAATACATACCAAACTGAAATAAACAGTTGTCTCAGACTATTCTCAATAAGTATCATTGTAAAATGAATGTAATACTGCTACAGAGAGTCTAGTTATGGCTAGATGTCAGCTCCATTGCCTAATCCCTGTGACCTCATGGCCTTGTCTACAAACTATAAAGAAGCTATAAGCAAAAAGGCTTAGTTTTAATAAAAATTACATAATAATTATTATTACGTGGAAATTAGCAACAAACGAGAAAGAATTTTACAAAGCACACAAAAATGTAATTCCATAGCAATGCTGTAAATATTAGAATTCCTTAACAGTATTCCATAAGAATTCACTTTATAAGACTTGGATAATGCCTAGAAGATTGCTCTGTCAGTTTACAGTGTTATGCTTACAGGTTGTAGAGCCATCCACATCGGTAAGGAAATGAGCTGCTGCACTTGACCTCTGATCAAGTCCACTTCCTGTTAGAAAGTTACAGACAAAAAATGCTTTTTTTTAAAATTCTTATGTTTTCTGATGTGCCTGTCTTACAAAATAAATCCATGTACATTACCATCTAACAAAAGTATGTTGTTCTCTTAGACTTCACAATTTCCTAACAGGAAACTGCACTACCCAGTAACACCTTCATATTTTAGGCTCTTTCCAGGGAGTCTGTCAGTTCTCAATATTTCAGCAGAGGCCCCATCTGTGCACGTATTTTTAGCACAGAAGCCGTTGAGAACTGATGTTCCTTCTTCACCCAGTTTTTATTCTTGAACTCAGTTTTCCCACTGTGCTTTCTCTACTTGTTTTTATTCTATACTTTCTCCCCTAAAGCCCTTAATTTAACAAGTTTCTCTCACTTCATCTACACTTTTCCTATTATCTGAAATAAATAATTCTCTCTGTCAGTTCAAA